GTTAAGTACGGACCTCCGGAACGAATTAAGTACTTAACTGAGGTACCACTGTATTTGAAGAATGATGATACAGTCATCAGATGACGAGCATGTATGAACCCGGCCCTAAGTGAGTCGAAGTCCTGTGAGTTTGCAACAGCTGGGAGCAATGGCTACTAAATGAAAAAACCGTCCGAAGTCACTAGGAAACGACTGGATGTTGTTGCAGGAAGATGTTGCATTGTGGCACGAGTGTACAGAAACAGCATTTAAGCGTTATTAATTCACAGGTTCTGTCTAACCATTCCGATGCGCTTCTGTGCTTCTAGGAACAGAGTACATAATCTTTATGGTAGCTGGCAGAGCCGGAGGGACAATGGTGGCATGTCTTGTTTTGAGGGAATCCAAGATGACCTTGAAAACGCAGCCGATGAAGAGCAGGCAGAAACTGAAGCAGAAGATGCAGGTACTTATTTCTGCACGATGGTGAGGACATTTGAAAATAGCATTGTTTACTTGTTAGTCTCAGGGCCGGATTTAGATTTGATGAGGCCCTAAGCCACTGAAGAGGGACGCGGGTGGCGCTGTGGGTTAAACCACAGAGCCTAGGACTTGCCGATCAGAAGGTCGGCAGTTCGAATCCCCGCGACAGGGTGAGCTCCCATTGAGGAGATTCCAAGAATCTGCTGATGTTCTCTGCTGATTCTCCAGAGAGGAGGGGGGTGGTTTCTGCTCACTACTTATTCCTCTCCATCCTCACATCAAGAGAGAGACTGAGTGTTAGAGAGAGTGTTATCTCTGTATAGATAAGGTTGCTGCTAAGAGCAGCTGCTGACACTCAGTGCAGTTCAACTTCTCCATTTAGCTCTGTATATAGTTTGTATGATAGTTGTAGATAGAATAAAAGTGGTTATTCTACAGAGCTGTTCTCCAAGTGGTTTGTGCTCTGCTGTGCTCTGCTTTGCAACGACTGTCTTCAGGAGTGAATCTGGTGCCCACAGCTCTGAGTTGTGAGTCCACAGCACTTAGACCTGTTCCTGTGCGGAAGGTGGTCTCTGGAAGTGCTACCCAGCTCGCCTGCCCAGTTGGGCTGAAGTGGATGAGTCCAGTCGGTGGCACTGGCTCAAGGGCGATGCTGACACCCATTGCTGGGTCCCTGCTCCTGCCAACCTAGCAGTTCGAAAGCACCTCAAGGCGCAAGCAGATAAATAGGTACCGCTCTGGCGGGAAGGTAAACGGTGTTTCCGTGCACTGCTCTGGTTCGCCAGAAGCGGCTTAGTCATGCTGGCCACATGACCCAGAAGCTTTACACCAGCTCCCTCGGCCAATAAAGCGAGATGAGCGTCGCAACCCCAGAGTCGGCCACAACTGGACCTAATGGTCAGGGGTCCCTTTACCTTTTAAGCCACTGAAGGTAATGGGGCCCTTTATATGTCCAGCTGTCCTTTGTCAACAACAAATTGTCGCTTTTTTGTGTTGAATATGTTGAATGGTAATTTATGGACCTAATAGGTACCTAAAGCCATTTGCCCATGCGGAATGTAGGCACCCTGTATATAGAAATGAGCAAACCAGTGATATTTTAGGGAGCAGGCTAGCAGGCGGGACCCATGACTTACATCATAGGAGCCTACACAACACAAAACACTGTTGCTGTTTTATTTTATTTGTTTTTTATCTTATATTTTGGAAATGTACACCCAGTTTTTTTCCCCTTTAAATTTTTTTTTGGGGGGGCCAAGAAAGTGGGGCCATAAGCTATAGCTTGTTTAGCTTATACATTAATCCGACACTGGTTATTCTGCACAGCTGTGAGGGAGAAACTGGGAAAAGTGAGCACAAAAGCCTTCATTGAAGCCTCTGGGATTTATTCTGAGTAAATATCAGGGTTTAATTAAGCATTTCTAGGTAACCTGGGCATAGACCCATGGTAGCACAAACTTGCAAAAACATTTGCACATGCTAAGATGCACCTATAGATGCAAATGTCCAACTTTCAGATGGGGGGGCGGGGGCACCTCTGACTCGAATTTCTATAATACCTTGCTGTGTGAATTCTGGGCCCAGTATGCAGTACAGTGGTACCTTGGTACTCAAATGCCTTAGTTCCCAAACGCCGAAAACCTGGAAGTAAGTGTTCCGGTTTTCAAACATTTTTCAGAAGCCAAACAGCCCATGCAGCTGTCGGCTATTGTTTCTGGGGCACCTGCACCAATCAAAAGCTGCGAATTGGTTTTTCGAACAA